TTCAGATATTGTTTGCATGTTTTATGCCAACTAATCTTGAGCAAAGAATTGAGTTTGCTGATCCCAAAAACAAATAGGTCTTTCTGTGCAAATCTTTTGTTCATTCTTCATTGATAACAAGAAAGTGGTAAAACTTTTTGCAATAAATTTTTTTATTTTCAGTCTTACAAATATGTGCAGAAATTTGTTGCAATAGACTGCGCTGCAATCTATTCATGTTATTCATAACTGAGTGAAAAGACAAAATTCAATTTACTTAGCGGTAATTTAGCAAATCAGTAAGAGTGTAAGTAAACAAACTTTCAAAAAGTAAAATAACTCAATTTACTGACTGATCTTTTGCAGACGAATAAATTAACAAGCATAACTTAATTTATTTTACTATAAATAATAGTTGATAAATAAGCATGTCTATTGTGTATTCAATAATAGTCATTTATCACTTTTGTTATAGTAAATTTTGTAAATCACTGGAAGAATGAATGCCTCAACGGAATTAATGTTTGTGAAAAAAGTCGATGGAAAAAGTTATTGCTATTAAAAAGTAATGAATAATTACGGAAGAAATTTTTGCATGCAGTTATTATGCAAGCAACAAAATGTTAGTATTTTGGAAGAATTCCTTTGCTTTTCATTTGAACTTCATCTAAATGATAACTTTTATGTTCAACAAGTATTCGCAAGCATCACCAAAATAGATAAGCAAGTGAAAAATGCAAGTAAAAAACTGAATTAATTATGAACTCAAAACCGGAGTATAAGTTGTTATTAACGTGAAAAATCACGTTTTAAGCGTGACAGCATTAATTTATCATCAGTAAGTATTTTCATGTTGTTGTGCAGGAAAGCAGAAAAAAGTTGTAAAGTATTGTTTTTGTTTTCATTTTAAAAGAAAGAAGAAGTTGGCTGTGCTGGAGGAGAAATAAACGTATAAATGTCAAAGCAGAAGTTTGGCTAATTCAAAATCAGAAAATTTCAACTTTTTCAAAGCTAATTCAGCGTT